CTTACCTTTGGATGACCTTTGGAACTTACGCGGAGAAAAATACAACCTCCACAAGTAACGATGGTCGACTGCAAGCTTCTGACGTTGAAGCTCTACTATTTCCTATTCTTTGGCGGTAAGAAGTCTTCGTTAACTTGGCTCACGTGGAAAGCGAATAGTAGGAGTAACGTTACACACAGTTAGAATATAAACACTTGAAATGGGTTGAGTCGCCTTCACCCTGCTACCGTGGAAGCCAAACTCGTTTTTCCGGGCCGCAAGAGCCCTTCGCCCGCTGGTGTAAATTACCGCTACGGGGGAGTCTAGCCGGGGGGGGGGGGTTTAGCTGGCCCTACATACGAGTATAGTATTATAGGGCCGGACAAACCCCTCGGGCTCAACTGCCCCGTAGCGGTAATTTATATAGGCGGGCGAAGGGCTCTTGGCTGCCGAAGGTAAACGGCTAATGGCCCGATACTAGTTTGGCACCCAGGGCACCTTCACCCTAAGTTAGGTATTTTTTAAGTTATGTTATTTCTTGGTCTTAGATTACTTTAAAGTTTCATGAAATGAGAAAAAAAACAGGGAAATTCTTACTAGCTAGCATCTTTCTCTAGAACTGCAGCAATGTGCCTGAAATTGTTGTTATTTTTTTCCGGTGCAGGAATTGCGTGCTTCGTGCCTTACATATCTGTGTACCTGCGACAGCTGGGCCTCCTGTCCTACCAAGCTGGCATCATCAGTGGAACATATCCTTTCTTCACCTTCCTCCTCAAGCCCATCTTGGGCGCTGTGGCAGACAGGTTCGACCGACACAAGCAGACACTGATGCTCTGCCTCTTCTTGACGTACTGTCTGATGTTTTCTACCATGTTCGTGCCTCCTGTGAAAAGGGGAGGGCTACAAATTAGCGCCGACTGTTTTTCTTGTAAGTCGTGGTGTGGAAATTCCTCTACCCAAAATCCAAGGCTGCAGTCTCCAGTCTTACTCTACCAAGCCCAAGGACTATGCAACTGTTCCAAGCTTCAAGAAGATGACAGTTTTGTTCAGACAAGTAGTGATAAGAACTTAACCGAACGAACACTAAGCAGTACATCTTTACAGCTACGATGTTCTACAAAAAGTGGCTGTTTTCTGTGCCCATGTAATACCACGGAGAGTGACTGTGATGTAGAAGTGAACCACCTAGACACAGAGACAAAGCTAGGATGGACATTCTGGATTCTGTTCTTCCTCCTAGTTCCAGCTCAAGCCTTGCAGAATGCATCAAGACCCCAGGCCGATGCTCACACCATGCAACTATTGAAAAACAACCCCTCTGATTTTGGGAAACAACGATTATGGGGAGCTGTAGGATTTGGACTTGCCTCTGTGATTGCAGGCTTTGCCATGGACAATTTCAGCGAAAGACGACAAAATCAAGACGAAACTGACTATTCTGTCACTTTCTACATGTTTGCCGGTTTTGGAACTGCCACGTTACTGACAGTTGCTTTTGGATTTGAGAAGTGGCGCCAGGCAAGACCTCAGAAGATGTTTCGAAGCCTACAGAAACTTTTAAGGAGACCCAACGAGCTCTTGTTCCTTGTAATCATGTTCATTATTGGGTCATCTTTCGGTGCCAAGGCTAACTTCCTTTTCTGGTATTTGAAAGACATAGGAGGCAGTCAGCTGTTGTTGGGGCTTGCTTTAATGATCAGCTGCATGGGTGAACTCCCTTTCATGTTCTTCTCAGGAAAGTTGATACGTAAGATTGGCCACCAGCAGGTCTTCCAGCTCGCACTGTTTTGCTATGCCGTCAAGTTTTTGTCGTACTCTCTGATACCCAGTCCGTGGTGGGTGCTGGCGATAGAACCGCTACACGGCATCACGTTTGGGGCCATGTTTTCCGCCTCCGTAACGTACGCCAGTTTGATCGCGCCGCCAGGGATGGAGGCCACCATGCAAAGCATTGTGAGTGCATTCCAGTTTGGTGTAGGTAAGTCTATGGTTTTGTGTTCTTGTTGTGAGAGCTATCCCTTTATAATAGCCTCCGGCTAGTTGGGCAATCCTGGCTGTATATATCTGTTGCTACAGTCTAATAAGTCAAATCAAATCAAATCAATTCAAAATCTCTCATGTAAAGCTATGGTAAAATATATGTGCAAGGATAACAAATGCAAAACAAAACATGTTATTACAAAAAAGTTATTCTTGGTACCAGGGTTATTCCCTTGGTCTGAAATTGTAGAATCGTAGACATTGAATATCAAATGCACAGGGAATTCAGAGACCAATCATTGTTGTGCAGTGATCTTCTATCTCCTATCTTAGCCTGGTTACCAGACCTATTTTACTATACTGTATATAGTAGAAGGGACTGTTTGACAGACTGAATAAAAATTCTAAACAGGAACTATTCAGCTCCAGATAACTTACTGAGGGACGACTGCGTGTGCAAGATGTCGGTTAGCTTGAGGAATGAATCCCCTCTACTACATATACAGAGCTATTTTACTAGTACCTATTTTTTTATTTTTCCCTCCAGAAATGCTCAGCAGTGCCTTAATTCAATGGACGCTGTTCAGTCAATAGCAGCAAATTTGAAACACTTGCCAGCATTGTCTCACCTAGTCATCTGTTAAAGATGCAGCACTACTGCTAATATAATCTTCAAGCAGATCTTTGTGGGCAAAATTGTGACAGTTAACGTTTCTGACTGAGTCCAACTGATTGGTTAGCAATGATCATTGGTTGGCTACTAATCAATCCAATCTTGGGCCCAATTACTATTTTACATGTGTAATTATAAAATACTAATAGAACACATAATATGTGTAACTGTCCTGGAGATCTGCTTGGAGATTACACCACTTCCCTGTTTCTTGATTGAAAAGATAACGATCTTTTTAATCACATCACTCTTCCCTATAGGTTATGCGTCGGGGTCTCTCATTGGTGGTGCCATCTTCCATGCATTTGGGGGCGTGGTTCTGTTCCGAACGTACGCTGTCGTCTGCCTTGTCTCGTGCATACTGTACCGCCTGATACCTCGCTGTCTAACGCGCTCCAAGGATGAGGTGGCCAGCCAGGGTTTGTGGTTTTTACTTTGTTCCCTGCATTAAATTGCCTGGGTGCAATTAGATTTGCTATTGGGCTCCTTACACTCACAGGCTTGTTTTAGGAAAGCAGCATGCGAACCCTGGTGTACAAATAGGATGGCACCAAAGCTATACATTACACAAGTTGTCTTCATGCAAAAGTACACAAGAAAGACACTATGCATTGCTATAAATTTAGCAATCATGTACAAATACATACAGGATATGACATGAATTGTTGGAAGTTCCATACTAGGAACGTAAGGCAATATTATGAGTCCAAGTATAAAAGAAAAAAGTGTTAAAACATCACTGTGGTAGCTCAAGCAAATTTTGTAAACTTGCATTATTGCTTGACAATTAGAAGCGAAACATAATTCTCTGATGCCCAGTCCTTCAATACCCCCCACCACCACCACCAATTTGCCCGCATATACTAAATTCACTTTTTGTCATCAACATTGCAAGAATGTACATCAAGGATGAATAAAGACTTAAAGACAAACAACTGATGAATCCATGTTTTGTCTTAGAATCAGTTATCAAGATTTGTGAAGGATAGTGGACCATACTATACATAACAGGACATCCCTGATGTACGCTAAGTACTCACGTTACCCGAGGAAATGTATACATGTAGGTGTAGAGTGCCTTTCCCAAGGGCACAATTGTTAACACTGGGGCCTGCCAGGAATTTAAACACAGAACATTTGAATCATGAGTTAACACTGGCCACAAACCATCTGCCCTAACCACTGACTGTTACAATGTGATGTTATAAGTGGTTACCTGTATATACAATGTATTATAATTACCTTTTCATTCACAGGTCCACAACGTGGGGATAGTGCAGAGGAACAAGGTGATCCGAGGACAGAAATCTCCAGCAAGTTTTATGAAACTATTTTGGAAAATGCAGATGTTCCCATCTATACAGAGACATCTGTATGAAAGTACCACAGATACATGTACACTGTAAAAGAATTTAAAACTAGAAAGGTAACATTTGCAAAGCAAATGTATAATATTTACCTTCGGATATGGTCTGCTTTGTTAATTCTTACTCAAACACATTCACATACATGTACATGGTGACAGGAGTCTAAATGCCTACTATGAGATTGCAACATTATGTAACCCAACACCAGTTACTATGGTGACAGACGTCAACAAAAGAGGCAATTGGCCAGGTCAGAGGTTAGTGTTTGGAACAGAAGAAGAAGAAATGGAGGAAAAACAATATGTTTTCCTTCGGTTAACATAACAAAACACCAGACTGTTTAGTTTAAGCTAATATGATACCACAGTGTTTTTATGATAAACATCAGCAATATCATGAAAAGTTGATGTACAACAAAAGATAATTCTGAAAGCTGTTGAACTTAGTTCTACAATCCAGCCATACGGAGTTTATTTAGAGTTTAAAGATTGATTAACTTAATAGCTGACTGTTGCATCACCCTGATTTGAGGTAAGGTCATCTCTATGTAAAATGAGACTAAGCGCACACACATTAGAGAAAGATGAAAGGGAGATACAAGAAACTGTCTGTAAACGAAAGATTATGTATATACTAGTACTACACAGAGGGAGCAGTGGAATGTGAAATACATTTTATCTGTCAGTGTCCTCATTGCGATTTTGAAAGAAAAAGGTATTCAAAGAAGTCTCCAATATTTCCCCAAGTTTTCGCAGTCACATCTCAACAAACAACAAAAGACTATATTACTGCTAAAGTCTCCCAACTCATTTATTTTTCAAAGAGTCGGACAATAGGCCCGGCTTATTCTCCTGAGAAGAAGTCAAACCCCCTAATAGCATGGCAAGAATAGTATATAGAATAGAATGGAATAGAATGGAATAGAATGGAATAGAATAGAATAGAATAGCAGTTATCCACTGTTTATCATGTACACCAACGTTATTAAATTCAAGTAGAGATAGTTGGTTAAATAAGTAGATCGTATACGCAGAACTTCATGCTGGCATACAGTCTCATATAACTACATTCTGTACTCATTGTTTTTGTCAATGTCTGTTTGTAATTAGCTCTCGGGCATGAACTTGCAAGAAAGAACTCATTGTAATAAATGTTGAAATAGAAAAAAAGTACGAACCATCACGTCTGTAAACTTTAGAAAACATTAAAAAGACCTACTAAGCCATTAGCCTGTGTTATAAGCTAAAGACGGCCCCCGAACTCACCCCCCCCCCCCCACTCACACACACACCGCCCACCCAACATGCATGGTTATGGATAGGTCTATTTGTTTATTTGTTTATTATGATTTTTCACAGGGTGAAAGGGAGGGCAAAACAGGTGCATACGCACCTTTACAAGTTGCCCTCCCCCATACAAAAACACATATACAACATCATATACAACATCAAAATTTACATCGTCAATAACAAGTAAAAATACATCAATATAGAAGGTTGAGCATAATTTAAATACATGTATATTTAATAAGTAGTTAAAATATATTGTGTTGATAAAATAAGACTAAGTGCGGTCTATAGGCAATACAAGAACTACACCCACAAGATCGGGAGCAAGTTCGGCTGTGGTTGGCTTGTGTTCGGAAGGGCAACAAAATACAGGGTTCTATATGACCTGGTTAGGACATGAAATTATTGAAAAATATTGTGTATGAAATGTCAGCAGGACAAGGGTTAAGACGTCCTGGCAGCCCCCCCCCCCCAAAAAAAAAATAAATAAAATAACACAAAGGCCATGATAGAATTATTAGTGTATAACTAATATTCGTACGCATTAAAGTAGTATATGTTCCTACTTACACGTACGGGCAACGGTAAACCTACATGATAGGAAGCCGTCTTGTTTACGGTTCACGTTTCGCGCGTTTGCAGTAGAAAATGCTGTCGTAAAATCCAACTGCCGCAAAATATTACGACCCCTGGCGCTAAGCATGCTGGGAACGTGTAGCGTGACTCCACGTCACTTGTCTGACAAGCCGAAGCAGTGAGCGGACGTGTCGACAGAGTTTTCCGAAGTCCATTACGGAACTGAAGAGGCCTCTGCTTGGACAAGTCGTTGATATCCTCAAGGTATTGTTATCGTTATGTTTAGTCTCTTGCAGTTAAGATTTTAAGTCCAGAAATTCCTTCTAGTTTAGGGGTCAGCGTTACCGATCGTTGTTGGGATCAATGGTAAAATTTGATGCAGTGATTCAAATCTTCTTCTACTGTTAAAATGTCGTATCGATGTATCCACAAGTTTACCTTTACCAGAACGATTTCTAGTGTTGCATGAAAGGGAGAAGATAGAGTTACTAACAACAGATTTATTTATGCATGGGGGTCTGTCACAAATACTTATATGTGTAGCCGGCCTCCCTATTCTGGATTACGGATCGTACAGAATTCTGAAAAAAATTGACCAAGAGAATCAGTCCACGAGAAGGTTAATTTTCTCCTTCCGAACGGTAAATAAACTGTACGCTGGCTACACTCTCCCGGCCAATTATTTACAATATTCAGCTACATTTCACTGTCTAAATTTGAACCCGCGTCGCTAGTCCGGTGGAGACTACATGTATAATGATGGAGCGAGAAATATTCTATTAAACAAATATCTGGAAGTCTGTCGAACGTGTTCCTCATAATGCAATTCTGGGTGCTTTGTGTGTCTTTTAACTCCATGGTTGAGAGGAAGGAAGAAACTCGACAGATGGTACAAGACGTTGTCATTATCATGTAAATTAGGGCTGTGAAGACAACTCCAGGCCTATAGATGGGGCTGAGGCTAATCTCAGAAAAGCTTTGAATACCGACGCTCTCCAGTGTCTAGTACATATGTAAATCTCTTTCAAGGAAGGTCTTTCAATTTCGTCGTCTGTTTCTTCACCGTAAGGCCATGCTGATTTGATGATATGGATGACATCCACGCGCGCATGAATTTTCGGCCGTTTCAAAAAAAATGTTTCCAACCATGTCCATACTGTAAATCGTACAAAACAGTTGCAAAATGAGCAAATATATACCATAAGTTAAAAAAACACATTGGAAAAACGATACCAATGTCGTAGAATGCCAAAAGCAAACTAAAAAGACGAAAATGTAGATATATGAATTTAAAGACTAGATTGTTCGCCAAACCATACTCTGTGTCATTTGTTTAACCTTCAAAACCGCGTAGATTTCATAACGAAAGCAACTTTTTTTTCAAAACTTTCTTTTATTCGCACGCTCGCATCAGTTTTGGGGTTGCCAGAGGATGTCATCCACATATCCTTTGAAATTCAATGCTGAAATCACTAAAAAACAAGCACTTTAAAAAACACATTTACCTGTATTTCAAACCTCACTGCAAAGCTGGATTTGTCAGGTTTCTTTTGCTTTTTGGTACTCGTAGTGGAAGGTCGAGTCTGGCGTTTTAATGAGCTACAGCCAAAACATTGAAATGATACCTGGATTTTACCCCCTAGCAAAATGGTTAGTCCTTCCCGTGAAGAAGTACATGTATTTCGAGGTCAATAACAAGTCAAACCAAGGTCAAACCATTCCAAAGGTCACACTTTTTGGCCAGATTTTAGAATATAAATTCTTCTGTTCTCTTTACCGGAAAACTGGACCATTCTAAATAAAATTTGCCGCGGAATAAATATTTGCAGAATAAGTCCAAAAATATATCGGATACTAGTATACAGAGTGCATTTCTGCAGCACGTCGGCAGAACGTACTGCGCCTGCGCAGAACCCTGGATTTTCGCGTTTTTCGTTGGGTTTTTGGTCAACGTTGCATCAGAATTTTGCCTGTTGCAGAGGATATTCTTTCCAACATAACATTTGGAAACTACTGTCGAAATTCTAACCTTATATGAACGAATACAACCTTATATGAGACATTCTGCCGAAATGCTATGTACAATACATTACGGGTTTCGCGCAGGTGCAGTACGTCCTGCCGACGTGCTCATTTCTGCAGTATTTACGAGTTTCCAGTTCCCATAATGCATAGCGCATGGGAGTCATTTGCATATCACAGGAATGTATCCTGTTAACGTTAAAGAATTTGTTTTTTCGTGTGTTTGAGGTTTTGGGGCATTTTATGCTCAACATTAATTAATTTACTATAGGTCGAATCTGACAACAAATAGAGAATGAAGTTTTGTGTTATTTCTGACATGGAACACGTTGTTTGTAACGTCACAGTCCTGGTCACAGTCCTTTCTATATTGACAGACAGTATAGCGTTACCATTGTAACGTTACAAACCACATGTTCCATGTTAAGCGAACACCAAAATTTCATTCTCTATTTGTTGTAAGATTCAACCCATAGTAAATAAATTAATAATGTTGAGGATAAAATGCCTCCAAACCTCAAAACACAGGGAAAAACAAGTTCTCATAAGTCAACAGAATACCTTCCTGCGATATGCAAATGACACCCAGGCGCTATGCATTCTGGGAATTGGAAACTCGTGAATTAATGGCTGATGACGTGGAATAGAAAATAGTACAGCTAATATTCTTGAAGATCGAGACTACGTTGAAAGCCTGATATGAGCGTCAGCCAGATGTTAATTGCGCTGTGTGGTATAGGAATGTATCGGGTTGGAGACTGTATGATAAGAATTGTGAAGGTTTTGTAGTTCGTGTATAAATGCGAAGTAATACGTAACTGGCTTTCCGGGTGAGTCGGCTGCAGTTCAGTTGATTTCCGCAGAGGGTGATTTCAAAGTGTACGTCACGAGCAGATGTGCCGACAGGATTTTGTTGTTGTTGTTTCTAGATATGTTGTAGTTTGTACCTTCTACTAAAACATGCTCTCATGCTTTATAAGTAGCAGGTCACAAGTGCACCATTCAAGCAGTAAAATATTAACCCATTCTTTTCATAACATTGATAAGATATCAGACTATTGCATTTTGAACCTAATGTTTAACTAATCTAGGCACTTGAATTGATTTCATTATTTCTACAGGGCACAGATTTTATCAGCATGGCAACTCATCTGGCATCAGCTGCTCCAGGTACTCACAACAGGCGTGGTGGTGAGAAACACTACAGGTGTGAGGAGTGCAGCAAAACGTTCAGTCAGCTTGGTGGTCTGAAGGCACATATACGGACTCACACTGGTGAGAAACCGTACAAGTGTGAGGAGTGCAACAAAACGTTCAGTCAGCTTGGTAGTCTGAAGGCACACATGCGCACTCACACTGGTGAGAAACCCTACAGGTGTGAGGAGTGCAGCAGACATTTCGGTTCGATGGGTCACCTGAACATGCATATGAGGACCCACACTGGCGAAACACCCTACAGATGTGAGGAGTGCAACAGACATTTCAGTCAACTGGTTACTCTAAAGAGACACATGCTAACTCACATTGGTGAGAAACCCCACAGATGTGAGGAATGCGGCAGGCAGTTCAGTCGCCTGGATCAGCTAAAGAGGCATATGAGGGTCCATAATAGTGAGAAACCCTACAGGTGTGAGAAGTGCAGCAAGCGGTTTAGTCAACTTGGTGCTTTAAAGATACACACACGGACTCACACTGGGGAGAAACCCTACAGGTGTGAGGAGTGCAGCAGGCAGTTTAGTGTGTTGCATTCTCTGAAGAAGCACATAAGGACTCACACAGGTGAGAAACCCTACAAGTGTGAGGAGTGCAGCAAACAGTTCTGTCAACTGGGCCAGCTGAAGGAACACATTCGAACTCACACCGGTGAGAAACCCTACAGGTGTGAGGAGTGCAGCAAACAGTTCAGTGAGCTGCGTCATCTGAAGAGACACATGCGAACCCACACTGGTGAGAAACCATACAAGTGTGAGGAGTGCAGCAAACAGTTTAGTCGGCTGGGTGGTCTGACAGCTCACAAACGAACTCACACTGGTGAGAAACCCTACAGATGTGAGGAGTGCAGCAGGCGGTTCAGTCAGCTGGGTCATCTACAGAACCACATACGGACTCATACAGGGGAGAAACCTTACAGGTGTGAGGAGTGCAGCAAACAGTTTAAACAAAAGAGTCAACTGAAGACTCATATGCGGATTCACACGGGAGAGAAACCCTACACGTGTGAGGAGTGCAGCAAACAGTTCAGAACGCTAGGTCAGCTAAAGAGACACATGCGGACCCACACTTAGGCCGTGTACAGACAAAACCGGTGGAAGCTGCAGATATGCATTTGACGACTCCAAATTGCATTGAAACTGGCTCGATCTCAAACCACCTCTGGAGGTAGTTTCGGAGGTAGTTTTTCTACCGGATCGCGACTTGATTCTAAACGCGAGAAGATTTCACCGCCGGTTTACCTAGCATATTGACCAGGTCATGGATTACGGGTTGATATTTCTTTATGTACAAAATGTATATGCAACACAAAAAGGTACATAATGACCGAATAACGTTAACGTGTCCATTCTAGGACGAGCTCCAGTGAGTCTGGCGAGACCAAGCCGGCAGTCGGCCAAGGTTCTTAGCGACGCTGAAAGCTCGATGGGCCACTGAGCATGCAGGTCTATGACCTCTAACATTGGCACCACGCCAACTTGCGTCTTTTTATCAAACAGCAATGATTGAATTTTAGCCCAATTGTGCTTGGCCACGATTATGAAGGAATGTGTGGCACGTGGACCGAGTAGTGGAGAAGATGTGATGCGATTTACCTGAATCACGCTTCCACCGCTTTCATCTGAACAAGTAGGGGGGGGGGCAGTAAACAGTTAAGTTACCTGGGTAATCTGAAGACTTACGGGGACTTACTCTGGTGAGAGATCCTGCAGGTGTAAGGATTACATCAGGCATTTCAGTGATTAAATTTCCTTGAGGAGACATTGGGAGACTTACACCGGTAAGGTTAGCAGTTCAGTAACCGAAAGACATTGGATTTTTCAGGGAATACCGACAATAAAATGTCCGTTTGCAGCGTTGCAAAACTTCACTGAGGAAAACAATGTAACAAAAAAACGTTAATTTTACGTAGACAGGTAATGCTCAAGTCTCGGCGTCCATTGTATAAAACCTTACTTTGCTGTACCATGGTCAATGTTATGTAACAATCAAATATTATGGAAAATAACCTGCACACTTATCGCAGCAATGCTAATGATAGACCGAAAGCCATTCTTTTTTTTTTGGACATTGAATTTGCAAATCTGGCAGAATATCTATAGTATACAGAATCTTTTCTAATTAAAATGTTTAAGTGAGAATGATAGTCTTACATGATTTAGTATAGTTTACATGTCTTAATGGTCAATGCCGGAAGTAACTGGGCTCCGTTCTTCTTAGTAAAATGGAATTTCCTCACTTGGCAATTGACTAAATAGTATGAATCGCAGTGCAAATATGTTGTGCTAGTCACGTGAAACTTCCGATAATTGTTAGTGAATGTGATCGAAAAATGTATTAATTCGTGTTGGTAGCTACATGTATCTTCCCTTCCTATCACCTAATGATATAAATGATTATGATAGATAATGTGTTTTCCGCTAGCTATAGAGATTTTGTCTTTTATCCGTATCACGATTTCGTTAATAAATCGATCAAAGTATGACTAACACACGAAATGTTGTAGTATATTTCTGCCAGGGGGGGCAGTTACTCAAGCAACTGGATATGATTTTGAAAACGTCAGCTGAAACGTCTGATGTTTTCAAAATCATATCCAGTTGCTTGAGTAACTGCTTTTTGGCGTATCGTGTTACCTAGATGTCTAACCTTCATCGATGTATTAAGTGTATACATGATTGTGTATTTCCATTTGAAATAGATACATGTATTTAATTTTGTACATACATACATATATTAGACAAATTCTGGTCATACGCCCGTTCCAAGTTAATACAACGGGAAGGCGTACTAGGGAAGGTAGCGTTCTAAGCGTTTACACGTCTGCTTCCATCTGAAAGTTTGGCCGACTACCAACCAGGCAACAGGAACTTACTCAAATCCTCCTCGCCCCTTCCTGACAGACATCCTCGTCGCCGGGATTGTGTTCGTCAACCACTCAAATAAAGAATATCACCCAGCCTTTATGTTCTAATCTCTATAGTGACTAGAGCTAGCTCTACAATTCCGTTGCTGGGGTGGGCTTTCCTAAACCATTTACTTGTTTTTATATTTTTACAGGTATATATTTATCCGTGTATTTTTGTTTGGGTCCAACTGTACGCTGGACACATCTGGAATGAATGAAATGAAATGAAATTGAACTCGTCATGGTTGTTATGCTCTGGAATAGGCCAGACTTTCTAACTGCAGCTAGGCTGGGCCGAATGAAAACAGTAAACTGGAGCAACTAAGGCTAGAGTAAAACAGCGATAAGGAACATAAGGCCACACCAATTTAATTTCTTGGTTAACGGATTCGCCGCTTCATTTTTTTCCGATTTGCAAATAAAAATAAAAATCCAGAATCAACTGCAAAATGCTCATATTTTGCCCTGAACAGTTGAAAACAGACGTTTTCATCCTAGTTATTACAGTTATTCCATCTTTCAATGCAATGGTATCATTAAAAGTTCATAATTCATTGTTTGAATTTTGAACCAGCCTGGTGTGTTGACTTCATGGCTCCTATTGTACCATTTTGGGCCATAATACGATGCCTAGGCCTGTTTTTATTTTTTTTTCGCCCGCCCGCTCCATTATTTTTCTAGAAAAATCCGTTAACCAAGAAATTAAATTGGTGTGGCCTAATGGTCATTTAGTGTCACAAGGAGATGCGCAGCCCTGGCGTATAACCAACAGGCCCTTGGGCGAAAACAGGTCGATACCTTGTATGCCGTCAAGTGACAAAAAATGGAAGATTTCCTCTCTTAACAGGATATTAAAGTGGTTGAAAACATTGTACGATTTTAATAAGGGAAAACCGCAACGGATGTGTGATGAGATCCCCAGCATACCCTTGATCGTGCCCGCTGGCACCATGGGGCCCTGCATGCCCTTTTTCGTAGAAAACGCGAAGTGAGTCAGTCGGTGGTAGAGTCCCGAGCTGAGTGCATGTGCACATGTGGATCCGAGCTGGATGCGTTAGGAGTTACCGTTACGTGAAATCTGTGAGTTCGTGGTGACGGTCCTTGGCCGGTCGTATCCTGACGTTAACTCTGAAATTTGGCAGTTTTTCAGTTTTAGAAAATACGTAAATCGCCTCAGCGAAATCACTTGAACTTGGAGGCAGTCACGAGTCAGCGATATCCACTGCGTGGGGAAATGTTCCTAACACAAACAGGAAACGACTTGAACTTAAGATAAGCTTTCAGCCTGCAGTACGTGGCATATGAGAGGAGGAAATGGCCGCAGTAACAAGTCCTTTCCGCGTTGTCTTGGGTTTTCTGTTCATCTTGAAGATTCATGGGCTGACAGGTAAGATTTTTATATTTTCATTTTTAATACTGTCGCCTGGTAGTAGAATTAAATGTAATTCCAACGTTACTGGTGTCAACAAATGTATAATTATTAGGGCATGAGCCTGAGAAATTCAACTTTTTTTCTCTTTACGCAAAATAAGACCAATCACTTATTATTGTGGTTTAATATTGTTTTCTCTTATGTTTCTTCTTCTCCTCCTTCTCCTACTTCTCCTGTCATTTCGTTAAATGAATTTAATTTCTTCATTTTGGGGGCAAATAACATGGAATTTGGCATGAAGGTAGAGTGCCCGAATACCCCCAGGCGTCTTTTTTTATTTCCTTGTTACAGACTTTTAGAATGTTTTTATTTTGGCTTTTTGGCTGTGTTATAGGTAACGTTAATGGAACGTTTTAGACACCTGCGCGTGGTGGCACATACTTAGAATAGAAACAATTACTTTGTTTACAAGTATTGGCACGGAAAAAGGAGTGCCTTGGTTTGCAAATCGGTGAAAACATGTCACATAACCTACATGTTTATATACCTTGCTATTTTCTAACCAATATCTAAAATATTTAAACAAAATTAGCTACAAACTAGTATATGTAGTTCTGTGGTAGGTAACGTCATTGACCTTTTGTTGACATTGGTCCCTATGATTTCGGGTGTCCTCTGTAAAAGTTTGGCATATTTCCTGGTGCAGTTTTTACGAAGCTGCAATTATTCACGTACATAGGCACTCATGTAACTACATAATATACTAGTAATTCTTCCAACTAGGATCATAACATAATGTGGGGTCACTACAAGGATTCATTCTTAAAGAGGGGAAGCATTTTTTTAAAAATTAAGTATGGACAGGACTGTCTGTGGGGAGGGGGGCAGGTCTGTTTTTGGTGTGGGGTATGTGGTGAAAACATTTGCTGCATTTGCTATCGAGCAAATGCCTGCCTGCCTTTCCACTTTAAGTACCTATTACCTTCACCAAGTAGGATGTTTTTAGTCCATGGCCTGAACACACCCACAACGCATATAGAACGTATCATCCCGGCGGTCAGACGAAAAGGCCACATAACCATCCGCGCGGACAAGTACGAGGAAGTCTTCGCTAGACCACCAAAATTACGCCACCTACAAAGGCTACAACTAACGGTGCACACACCAGTTCTTCCGCGATAGTGCCCGGAAAAAAAGTGACGAAGGGGTTCCGATGGTTCATGTTTGAGTTTACATTTCTCATAATCTGCTGCAAAATGGGATTAGCTACTAACATGGCTGAAAAGTGTAAGAAGTGGCGTGTTTTGGGTGAAAATTGATTTCGGGCCCGAGACTTACTTCCGGGTGTCCTTCCGCCCTGAGCGCGGTGCTTCGGTTTGACCTAGTTTTGCCTTGTATGCGTTCTGGGGGTGCTGTAGCTATGCCTCGCGCGACGGGCTATTGTGATAATCTCAGTGTTAGGATTTTCTTTATACTTTTCTTAATAATACATAAGGGTTTTCTCTTTCCGACTATATAAGTCATATCGGTGGCAAAAATCTGGGTGATGGGTTTAATTCCACGTGAAAATGGCCAATTTTTGGCATCCATTTTCAGCGAAAAATTCTTTTTCCCCCTAAAATTTGCTAAAATGTGAGAGGTGAAAGAAATTGAAATTCTTTTGTTCTCGTAGCTAGAGGGATATCCTTCATTTGCAAACAGAGTGTTTTGGCTTAAGAGGTTTTTCCTGAAAGAGACGGTCGCTAGAGTTGAGGGTATGCAGAATCGAATTGAGACCCAAAATAAACTGGGGTGTGCCCCCTTAACAGGCATTTAAGAAAATAAAAAGATTTATGTACATAGATATTACGATATCGGGGATATCGCGGCCAAAACATACGATACAAAGTCACGTTCCCGGCGATTTACTGCGCGTCTTAGACTCTGGTCCGATTTAAATTCCGGCCCGGAACCAAAAGTACTATTATATAAAACACTGTAATTATAGAATTTCCTCCTTAATTATGCAAATTAAATCCTTATTTGCATGATATGCATCTTATTAAGTCAAAATCTCTCTCAGCTACATAGACACCAAAAATGATGAAAATACGTTGTTCCTATCTGGGCTTTGCCAGAAAGTCGCCTGCAGTTCAAGAACAAGCTGCTAGGGGGACCAAACCCACACCACTTATTCCTGACAGGAAAAGCTATCTGTCACAAAAAAGGCAAGCCCATAGCATGTTCAGGACAAAAGATGCAAAAACCGGACGTTTTGCTGCAGTACCAAGGTCATCCACAAGGAGGTTCATATCAAACCTTGACCTTTGTGTTCCTATAAAATTTACATAAAATTATATAAGATGTTATTAAGTTGGCGCGGGCACTTTTAGCCCCCCCCCCCTTCTAGATAGGGTTAAAACGCCTTTATGGATTGT